CTGGGGATCTTGGGTTGGGGTCCTTGGGATTGAGCCCAAGGGTTGGGGCTCTTGGGTTGGAGCTTTTGGGTTGGGGTCCTTGGGTTGGAGCCCCATGGGTTGGGGTCTTCAGGTTAGAGCTTTTGGGTTGGAACCCCATAGGTTGGGGCTCTTGGGATTGAGCCCAAGGGTTGGGGCTCTTGGGTTGGAGCTTTTGGGTTGGGGTCCTTGGGTTGGAGTCCCATGGGTTGGGGTCTTTCGGTTAACGGTCTTGGTCTGGAGCTCTTGGGTTGGGGTCCTTGGGTTGGGGCTCTTGGGATTGAGCCCAAGGGTTGGAGCCCACGGGCTGGGGTCCTTGGGTTGGAGCCCATGGGTTGGAGCTTTTGGGCTGGGGTCCTTGGGTTGGAGCCCATGGGTTGGAGCTTTTGGGTTGGAGCTTTTAGTTTGGGGCTCTGGGGTTGAGGTTTTTGAGTCGGGGGTTTTGGGGTTGGGCCCATTGGGGTGCAGCTCTTGGGTTGGAGCCAATGCTCATCACGGACCCAACAACAGCCAAGGGCAGAGCTCCCAAGGACAGCAGGGGGGGATTCTCCAACGGGGCCACCAAAGGGCCCCCAAAGGGCCACCAAAGGGTGCTGACTGGGGGCAGAGCCGCGTTCCCTCAGACAGCAGAGGACCCCCCCAGCCCCCCCAAACCAGACCCACGCATCCCCCTGCCCCCAGCACCGCTCCCATCGCCCCCAGCCGTGGGTTCCGCACAGAGAACCGCCGCAGACGCAGCGCTCCCACCACCGCCTCGCCCCCAGCACTTAATTACAGAGCACTAATTAACCCCCGAGGCTCAGAGCATCCCCAGGTCTTCCCGCGACGGAGAGGCACGGACCCAACGCCCGGGATTTATTAAAAGGCTCAAATCGATACAAAACCCGCTGGGAATTAAGACAAAGGTTCGTTAAAACGCTCCGGGGGTCGCGTCTGCATTGCGATGCCGGCGTTGGATTTTAAAGGCTAAAAGGATTTCTTCCCACAAAAATAAAACGCCGAATGACGCCGGATGGAAGCAGAGCCCGGTCCGTGGGGCAGAGCTGCTGCTGGGACAGCCGGCGACACCACGGGGACAACAGCACCAACACTTTGGGGTTTGGAGATGGAGAAAACGTGGGGGGGTGGGAGGAGGGGGGGTGGGGGAGGGGGGAAGTCTTTTGGGTTGGGTTGGGTTGGGCTGAGTTGGTTGGGGGGTTGTGTGTTTTTGCAACGCTTTGGGATGGTCTATGGAGCCCCAAAATCATGAAAGCCGGAGCAGTCTGTGAAAAAGTCACCTACAAGAGGGGGAGACAGAGCAGAGAGAGGCATTAGATGGCGGTGGGGGAATGGCACAAAGCGCCACGACGAGCACACATCGCTCTGCTCCTGTCCCCCCCCCGTGAAGGCTCCTTCCAAAGACCAACGCCGGGGGGGCTCTCGGGGGTCCCCACCCAAAGCTGCCGGCTCGAAGCAGAGAACAAAACCGACCCCGTTCCGGCGGAACCGCGCGGCGCCGGGAGGCGGCAGCGCCTTTAAGGGCGTCTTTCTGTCCGTCCTTCCGTCACCAACCCCAAAAAAAACGCCACAACGAAAACCAGCTCTCCCCATCGCTACCCGGAAGGGAAGGGGGGCAACTTACTGTATCCCGCCGTCGCCGAGTTCCCCCCGTAGCCGTAGCTCCCGTAGCCGCCGCCTGCCGGACACCAAAAGGCTCAGAAATGGGGGAAACGGGGGCCGGACACCAAAAGGTTCAGAAATGGGGGAAACGGGGGCCGGACACCAAAAGGCTCAGAAATGGGGGAAACGGGGGCCGTCGGTCATCGTTATTTGGGGTGGTTGGGGTGGGGGCTCACCTGCGTTCATGTAGCCGCCGTGGTTGCCCCCGTAGCCGCCCCGGCCTCTCCCACGGCCGCGCATGTTGCCGCCCCGGCCCCGGCCGCGCATGTTGGGCGGTGGGGGGACGTCGTTGTGCATGGGACCCCCCATCCCAAAACCCGGGTTGTGCTGCTGCAAAGAGAAGAGTGGATTGGTTGGGGTGGGTTGGGGGGGGGAGGTCCTCGAAGGTTATAGAAATGTGGGATGGTTGGGGTGGGTTGAGTTGGGGAGGTCCTTAAAGGTCACAGAGCCATGGAATGGTTGGGGTGGGTTTGGGGGGTCCCCAGAAGTCGTAAAAACATGGGATGGTTGGGGTGGGTTGGGTTGGGGAGGTCCTTAAAGGATACAAAGCCATGGGATGGTTGGGGTGGGCTGAGTCCTTGAAGGACATAGAACCATGGAATGGGGTGGGTTGGGGGGTCCTTAAAGGTCACAGAAATAGGGAATGGGTTGAGTTCAGCTGGGAGGGTCCTTAAAGATCACAGAGCTGTGGATTAGTTGGGTCGGAAGGGTCCTTGAAGGTCACAGAACAATGGAATGGGTTGGGTTGGGTTGGGTTAGGAGGGTTCATAAAGGTCATAGAAATAGGGAATGGATTGGGTTGAGTTCAGTTGGGAAGGTCCTTAAAGGTCACAGAGCCACGGAAAGATTGGGTTGAGTTGGGAGGGTCCTTAAAGATCACAGAACCTTGGAATGGGTTGGATGGGAAAGGTCCTTGAAAAACATAGAACCATAAAACCATAGAATAGATTGGGTTGGAAAGGTCCTTAAAGGTCACAGAGCCATGGATTGAGTCGGGTTGGGTCGGAAGGGTCCTTAAAGATCACAGAGCCATGGGTTGAGTCAGGTTGGGTTGGAAAGGTCCTTAAAGACCACAGAGCCATGGGTTGAGTTGGGTTGGGTGGGAAAGGTCCTTAAAGGTCACAGAGCCATGGATTGAGTTGGGTTGGGTCGGAAGGGTCCTTAAAGATCACAGAGCCATGGGTTGAGTTGGGTTGGATTAGAAAGGTCCTTAAAGGTCACAGACACATGGATTGAGTTGGGTTGGGTCGGAAGGGTCCTTAAAGATCACAGAGCCATGGGGTTGAGTCGGGTTGGGTCGGAAGGGTCCTTAAAGGTCACAGGACCATGGAACGGCAGGACAGAGCCGCAGGGTCAGCCCGGATCCCCACAGAGCAGCACTGCTTACCTTCACGGCAAACTTGGGCCCTCCCCTGGCAGGCAGGGGGGTTCTCTTCTTCTTGTTCTGCTCAATGGCAACGGGAGCATCGGGGAAGAGCTTCTCCAGCGCTGCCAGCGCGGCGTAGGCTTTGGCCACCTTCTTATTGGAACCGGCTCCTTGGAACTTCTGCCCGTCCACCTCCACCTTCATAACGGGGGGGGTCATTGGAAACCAAAAAGGGACCCCCCACAAAATCCACCGCCATGCACAGTGCCCCCGGGAGAGGGGGAGGTGCTCTCCCCAGAGCTGTGGGGCTGCGGTATTGGGGTCGCAGTTGGAGGAGCTCGCCCCAAAGATGTTGGGGTGGAGATGTTTGGGTTGGAGAGGATCCCCCCCGAGTCCATGGGGCTGCGGGTATCTGTGTTAGAGGACTTCTCCAACCCAAAGCCGTGGGGCTGTGGGTATCTGGGTTGGCAGAACTCTCCCCAGAGCCGTGGGGCTGGTGGCATTTGGCTCGGAGGACTTCTCGCTCCCCCCAACGCCGTGGGGCAGCCGCTGTGGGGTGGGCAGTGGGGCGGACGGGGCCTCACCTCCATGACGAAGCGTTTGTCGTGGCTGCCGCCCGTCTCGGAGATGAGCTCATATTTGAGCCCGCGCCGCTTCTCGTTCAGCTCCATTACCGGGTTCTTGCCGTGCTTGGTCAGGATTGGTCCCTGCTGCTTCACGTTCTGCCGCACGCCAACACCGCGTCACAGCCAAACCCCAACCACCCGCTTCCCACTGACCCCAAAACCGCCCCTCCGGACCCCACGGCCCTCCAGACCCCGACACCAACCCACGGAACCCCAGCACCACCCCACTAAACCCCAACAGCGCATCATCAGAGCCCCACAGCCCCTCCGGACCCCAACACCGCTCCTCCAGACCCCACCCCCATCCAACCAAACCCAAACACCACCCCACCAGAAACCCTCCCCCAATATCACCCTCCCGGACCCCAGACCCCCACCTCTGAGGTCTGATCCGAAGGAGGAGAAGCGGCGCTGGGTGTAGAAACAGCTTCCACAACAGGAGGAGGAGGAACCACCACCGGCTTCTGCTCCGTCTCCTCCGCCGACTCATCGCCTTTGCCGGATTCTTTGCCCTCCGCTCCGGTGGGTAACCCCATATCCTGCAGCACCTGGAGGGAGCGGGGGTTCCCCCGTTGTTGGGTGCTCAGCCACAGGTCTCTCTCCCCATGGAAAGCAAGGTCCCAGAGCCGTGGGGCTCAAAGGGACCTCCGGAGCTCCCCCAGCTCTGCAGCAGTTCTCCATCTGCCCTGAGCTGGGAGCCCGGCACCAGGCCCAGCGCTCCGGCTGTGGCCTCACTGGGAGGAGCAGCACCTCCCTGCCCGGCTGCTGCGCTCTGGGTGACGCAGCCCAGGGCCCCATTGGCCCCCTTGGCCACCAGGGCACCCTGCTGCCTCGTGGTCGGCCACCAGGCGACCAGTGGGAACCATTGGGCACCTCGGCCATAAGCACGCCCCGCTGCCTCGTGCTCAACATCTGCCCAGCTGTGCCCAAGCACTGGGCACTGGAATGCCACTGGGCCCTCCTGGCTAACAGGGCAACCACTGGGCAACTACTGGCCTTCCTGACCAATGAGTGCACACTGCTGGCTCCTGGTCAACCACTCGATCAACAGTTGGTCAACTGTTGGCCACTGGAAGGCCACTGGCCCACTCGGCCACCAGCGCACACTGCTGTTGTCAACCCTTGATCAACTGCTGGTCAGCAACTGGCCAACACCGGTCTTGGCCACGAGGAAGAACTACTGGCTCACGGTCAACCATTTGGCCACCTGCTGGTCAACCACTGGCCACCGGAGTGCTGCTGGCCCTCTTGGCCACCAGGGCACCCTGCTGGTTCGTGGCCCATCGCCAGCCCCCAGGATGCTCTCAGCACAGTTCCCCCCCACACCGCATCCCATCCCATCCTGTCCCACCTCATCCCATCCCATCCCATCCCATCCCATCCCATCCTGTTCCATTCCATCCCATTCCATTCTGTCTCATCTCATCCCATCCCATCCCATCCTGTTCCATTCCATCCCATTCCATTCTGTCCCATCTCATCCCATTTCATTCCATCCCATCCCATCCTGTTCCATCCCATACTGTTCCATTCCATCCCATCCCTTCCCATCCCCCCTG